ATAGTCGCATAGTGGGATGAATCATTTCATCTCATTTTTCATGTATCGTGTTGAATCATTTCATCTCCATGTGTCATGTGGCGTGCTGACTCCTTTCACCTGTGTTTGCCGAGTGGCACTTTGACTCCTTTCACCCCCTCCATTGTGTGGCACATCAACTTCTTTCATCTCCAATTGTTTGGTGGCATGTTAACTCCTTTCATCTCCATTGGTCTGGTTCTCGTAAGCATTTCTCCACAATGATAGTAAACACTGCCGCATCCCACAACTCATATTAATAGGATTTCTAATAACATATGTTTGTATTTCATAACATAAATTTTTATGTGCATGAACAATTCGTTCTCCAGCGTAATTCATTGGACATCATTCCTTTTCACTATTTTTGAAAAAAGAACATGAAACTAGTAAATGTTAACTCTTGGGCCATATACGTACCACAAACAGAAACATATTAACATTTGACAAGAATGGAAACAATAATGGAATTTTATTGAGGGGGATAATAAAAAATTGGCAGAAACTGTCACACCTTTCATAAAACTACACACATCCATGGCATGGACCACAAGAACTCCACTCGATGGATCCTTGTATTTCTTTTCTCTCTTCTTCGTAAACGATATTTCTTCTTTCTTGAACATCTTGGCCTGACTTCATACTCACAAAGCTAAACAATTATCGTAGTGGTGTTGGACAGAGGATGCAATTATTTGGTTCGAATTTGTGTATTGCTCTCGCCCTAGTCTGAAATACCCTTGAACTTATGTTCGAGAAGTGTTTTATTTTTTAAATAAAAGGCCCTTGTAAAATTATGATTCCAGGAAGTCATACGGCCCGATATGTATGCAACTGAAATCGAAGATAACCTCCATCTTTTTATCCGATGCCCACTTTCTTGTGAGCTGTGGTATGCTATGGCAGAAGACTAGGTCCTGCCGGAGATTAATGAGATTGAAAACACGGGTAAAGAGTGGTTATTGCATGCACTTGAACCCCCTCCTAGACATCGAACGCGCCATGCTGTTGATGACCTTATGGCGCTGCTGGCACATCCACAATGAAGTTGTTCATCACAAACCGCCACCCCCGGCGAAAGCATCTAAAAGATTTCTCGTATGCTACCTGGACTCTATCATTGGGCTCAAAACTGAATTGTGTGATGGTCCTTGCAAAGGTAAATCTATCATCGCGTATCACCAAACAGTGAGAACAAGAATGACAAGTCAGGTGGATAGATGGAGTTCGCCCCATGTTGGGTCGGTGAAATTAAACATTGACAGGTCCTATGGGCGAAGATGGTGCCGCCGGAAAGATCTTACGGAATGACAATGATGCTATCATTTTTTTGGCCTGTAGGGCACCGTTTTCATGTTCAGAAGCATTGGAAGCGAAACTTTGTGCGTGTATGGAATGACTCTCATTTTAAATCCAGAGAAGTGAATTGCCAATTATTGTGGAGATGGACTCCATGGTTGAGGTGAAGGTGATTCAGTCGCATGAGATAGGCAGATCTTTATAATCTTCCATTGTACGAAAGATTAGGCACTTGATGAGCCTTTTAGTACTTGTATTACTCTTGTTAACCACACTCAAAATAAGGTTAGTGATAGTCTAGCTAAGTTTGCAAAGGTTGAAGAAAGAACCATGACCTAGATTTGTTCAGGACCTTCAGCTTCTTTAGAGCTAGCTCATGCAGATTATAATGACCATGATATTTGAGTAATACAAATTTTTACCTGCAAAAAAAGTGGAAAAATGAGAGGTAACCTATGCACAATAATATGAGTTTAGGAGGGAACCAACTTGTGATTGGATAGTCAGAAGGACAGTGGTATCCCCTGCCCGCCAGAGTTCAAGTCCCAGACATGACATTGGTGCTTGTATTTTCTCATCAATCTCAAGATGATGTGTCGTCTCAGTCTCTCGGAGGTGTTCATAGGGGTACGATGATGTGTGTGCGTTCCTAGGGATGAGTGTATGTTTATGTATGTGAGCGACTTGGATTGTACCGACTTCCCGACTGTCTACTGCAACAAGTTGTGCCCGGCTCCGGCGATGGAGGGGTGATGACGGCGGCACGCCTTCGGCTCGCTTCGGTGCTTATAGTCGTCGCTAGGTGGTCTACGAATATGGATGTAATCTTTATTTCTGGTATTCGTTGTACTGCCATGATTGAAGATGAATAGATTGGAAGTTTTTCCGCAAAGAAAAGAAAACAAATATGAGTTTAGGCCTCACACATTGTCACGTCCCTGCAAAGGTAGGTAGGGATGTGGCCGTTGAGGCAATGAACGCGCTCTCCGTTTCCGGTCAAAGGAAGCACAAAGACACTCTGTCCATGGCCATGCAACCGAACAAAGCAGGAGTCTCTCATTTTTGTAATTCAAATCATATCTTCGTGATCCAACATTTGTTAAGAAAAGAACAAAAAAGCAAAAAACAGCAACACAGCCCGTGGTTTTGCTTTCCAAAATACATGCACAAAATCATATCATCGGCGGACAGCACAAGCAGACACCAAAATACATGCACAAAATTAGTACTGTAGATTCAGAAACTAATACTGTAGATTCAGAAATTAATACTGTAGATTCAGAAATTATTGAGTAGAAATTAAGTAGCGCATGAACAGAACCCAAAATCAAGCACGGGGAGGGAAAGGAGGGATCTAATCTAACAGAGGTTTTGGGTTGTGTTCTTAGATGTCTGTGGGCTTTGTGTTGGTTAGGTCCCTTGTTCCTTAATCAGTGTTTTACTTCATGTCGTTTGCTTTGGCAGGTGGGAAGGAGTTCGGAAAACAATGGCCGCGATGGGTGGGGACCAAAGGCAGATGATGGAGGATGCGGCGGAGGACAAGTTCCCGGAGGGGTTACGAGTCCTCGCCGTGGACGACGACTGCGTCTGCCTCAAGGTGCTAGAGAACCTCTTGCGCGGCTGCAAATACCACCGTGAGTCTCTTGAATCTTGATCCCTCCGCTTCGCCAAAGTCCATTAGGATCGGAGCCTTGTGATGTTTTTGTTTCTCTGCGAATAATGCTTTTTGCGATGCAGCAACGACTGTGAAGGATGCCAAGATGGCGCTGAAGATTCTCAGCGCGGGGAAGGTGAAGTTCGACCTGGTCATCACCGACGTGCGCATGCAGGACATGGACAGCTTGAAGCTCCTCGAGCGCATCCGCCTCGAGATGGATCTGCCCGTCATCAGTACACTCACTGCTCAATTCTAAGTCCTAGTTTTATTTTTGTGTGTACGAGCTGACAATTCTCTTTGAGAACGTACATCTAATCCTGAATCTTGGATATACAGTGAGAGGAGAGGACATCCATTCCTTTGAGCAGCACGTGAGATCCTATATATTCAGCACGATTTTAGGAAACCAAATACACATGCACGCCACACTCACCCTATTTTTAACTTTGGGGAAATCGAAAGAGTGGGATCCCCTTTCAGCCCGAACCAACGGGATCCCATCTAACCATTCATCTGTCCGGTCGGATGGCCAGTGGGCCGGGTAGTAGAGCGGAGGTGAATCGACACATTAGTGAATTAGGAGGGGGCTGGATCACAGGATCCCTAGTGGTATCGGTTCCTTGCCCGAACCAATGGGATCCAACCTAATTGCTCATCCATCGATCAAATGGCTAGTGGGGGCAGGGGAATGGAAGCGGTAGCATGTGATTTATGAGATCCAACTAATTATTGACTTAAATAATTGTGTTGATTGTTTTTAGTATGCTATAAACATGGTCATGTGTACCATATATAATTATAAGTAGGCAACAAGATACACCCCCCCCTATAGGAACCGGTTCTATTTTCGATCAATTGATGTCCCAATTGTATTAAAACATGCCGTCTGGATTCAGTATAAATTTGTTTTAGAACTTCAATACGTAGTGCCAGAAGTCTAGAGTTCAATACCATCCATACAATATATATGGTAATCTAGCTTAGTGTGAGTATGTGTTACTCCTATGCAATGTAGACCCACTACTCGTATGTGTTTGGTGCGGGTGCATTGATGGACTTAATTTAATTTTGTATGCTCTCAATTGTAAAAATCTAGTCATAAGAACCAAAATTATAATATATTTTTATTTTGTGATATGACCAAATTATATTTAGTTGTTTTCTAAACTAATATTAAATACCTAGTCCTTGCAATCACACAAAGTATAGAATTGCACCACCTGTTTGCTAGGGTGGCAGGAGTAGTACAATTAGGAAACTACGTATGTTGTATCTACGTCATTAAAGGATTACTCATCTATAATCTGCTTGAGATTGTTTGTTAAAAGTACTTACTCTTGAGAATACCATATAAAGGAGTGCCACTTTAAAGCAGATACATTGAGTAGGTTAACCATGTAAAATATCTACAATCCTGAAGCTTTGTTGACTTTGAACTAGGACACTAATTTGTAGTCCCATTATTTTTGCCGGCGAGTGCAACCAAAAATACTTATTATCCTAAAATGTAATAAAAATACTTAAGATAATGGCGCTGCCATGTGTATGACTGCTTAACATGCTCAGAACATTACACGAGCCGATCACTTTTATCTAGTGCGCTAGAGAAACATGGTAAACCACCAATAATAGCAATTGATCTTCTTGTTCACTAGTACTTAAACGTGACGATCTGATTTACCTAGTTAGAACATGGTGTTATGATGGTTTAGGCATTGTGTCATGGTTATTTTTATCCATTATTTGTGTTTTATACTATTAATTGAATGTGTGAATGTTTTTCCATTTAATTTGCACTGGAACACAAATTATATCATTGTCATGATAATCTGAAAATCATGTTGAAAACATGTTTGCTTCCCCACTTGCCCGACGCATTTGGAAAATATTGAATTCTGTTTTCTATCTATAAGCACCAGTATAAAATTTTATGTCCAGTTCATAGATTTTTGTGAAGTACTAAACTCCAAAGCTAAGTCAGGTCATATGGCATGCAGTGCTATCTGAAGATTGTGAAAAGAAGGCTATGATGAAGGGGATAAATCATGGGGCGTGTGACTATTTGGTGAAGCCAGTGCATACCAACGAGCTAAAAAATATATGGCAGCATGTTGAAAGCAGGAGAAATTCTGAAGCAATAAGGCACATTAGCAGGGACGATGATGACGACCAGAGATCACAGCTTGGGACTGCTGCCAAGAGCAATGATGGAGCTAATACTGACGAGAGCAAAGAGAGCACACATGCATCCGCTACCCAGAAGAAGCCAAAAGTGGCATGGACAATCGAGCTGCATACAAAGTTTATGGAAGCTATCAACCAGATCGGCCTTTATAGTAAGACACACATTATGTCCTTATTAAATGACACAACACTTGTTGTTACTTGGGATTTTCCATTAACAATTTTTTGATTACATTACTATAGGGGCTACTCCAAAAAAGATTCTTGAGCTGATGAATGTGGATTACCTCACTAGAAAAAATGTATCGAGTCATCTACAGGTTTATTTTCAACCCTTTTCTTTATTTGTCACATGTTTATGTTCCATTTATTCATAGTCTAACATTTTGTCATATATAAGTGTGAGCTTATATTTTTTGGAGGAACATATTAGTCAAAGGTTTATTAATGCACCCAACATGAAAATGTGTGTAATTGTAATCTTTTTTGTCCTTGAAAATGTGAGGTTTATCTTATATAATGCATGCCCCATACTTTTTGAACCCATGCAACACTTTCAGTTATTTTTATTCCCACATGTCCACCATTAGTATTTCCCATGAGCGTGCATCTCATATACATGTTTATTTGTCTATATTGTTATTTCAGAAGTATAAATTGTACTTGAAAAAAGTCAACTCAAACCCACTTGGTGATGCATGTGTAAGATGGAACTCTTTCATGAACAATTGGGAGAGTTTTATGCATAACCATGAGCATGAAAGGTGGGGTGTGTCCTCAGGTAGCATCGCCTCGTGGAGTCCGAACCATTACGGTGCAGCGGTTCACTTAGGTCAGCATACAAACACCCAGGGGAGTATGTCCATGGGTTCATTAATCAGTGGTGGTACAATGCTGGGGTATTTGGTACCACAGACGCCCTCTATGGGAATATTTTCTGGCTTGAATGAGCATATAGTTCCATTCAACATACCTAGCAACCCAAGCTCTATAGGGATGTTGAATGCAAACATCAGTGTTCCAATGGAAGCACCTCAGTTTGTTTACAGCGACCCAATCACTACATTAGTGGCAGGCTTCAGCGAGAAGATGGCGCCATTCAACATAGCAAGCAACATGGGCTCGGTTGGAATGATGTTAAATGGCAAGTATGCACCTGGTACAGGAAGAACTTCAGTGGTAGAGACTGAGATGGTTAACTATGGAAGAATTAGTTCTGCACTTTCCAACCATCAGATATATGATTTCGTCCCATTGACACATATGCATGAAGTCGGTGATGCATCTGGTATTTTCCATGTGCAAGAAGGAACAGTTGATCAGCAAGCACTTAGTAGTCAACTGAATGGCATCAATGACTTGTCATCAGTCGGTATTAATGAAGTAAGAATGTTTCTCCTTGACATGTATCTAGTCTATGCATATGAAATTTTGAAATGAACAGGTGTATTTAAATCAAACTTTCTTTCTTGTTGTAGGATTTCATTGGAGAGGATGCGGTCATGGATGGATAATGAAACTTATGTTGGTTAACCCAACCTAGATGCAAGATATTTTTCGCATGTGTGTTGGGCACTTTTAATGTGCCATTCCTTTGTTCTTGCACAATGTACCATGAAACTGTCAGATTTATGTAGTCTAGTTGGAAGTACGGTCGTGTCGGGGCTTCTATTTTACTCCAACTATTTTTTAAGTTTTCGTTTCCATCTGAGATCAAAATGGTGTTTGGTTATGTTATTTCTGATGTAAGCATTTTTGTTCTATATATTATTGATATGATGTTGCATCTTTTCCCGAGACAACATTTCAAGGTGAAAACATGTCCCCCTGTCTATGACATGGTCTTTAGGACGCATATTTTAGACACGGCTTAGGGAAAAATCATACATTAAATTTTCTATAAAGGCATATACATGTTTTTCCCTGCATTTAATGTTCATTGCAAAAGTGTCAAAAGTAGAAACCGAGTGAAGAGAACCCTAGTCTTCATTATCCATGTATAAATGCTTCACTTTTCCAATTCTGATGTCGTGTGATAGAAGTTGCTTGCACTAATGTATTATCCTAATATTCTGTGCCTATTACCATATAACATAAAGGAAATTATTTAGTTTTGGATGTAGAAAATATTTATTTACCTTAATTGTGAAAGTCAGTGGTGCCTAACTTTTTTTTGTGAATGGTGGTGCCTAACTTAAACATCTGCAGTCAAGAATATGGTTTATGAACGCCTAGGCCATCATCACAACATCTTCAAACATCATGCAAATCATGCACCTGAATAATTATGTTATTAGATACAATATGATATCTCAAACCCTATTAACTTCATTTAAGGGATATGGTGCTGCTTACTACTGTTGTGGAAAATGCTAACAAAAACTCAAAAATGACAATGGAAGGAATCAATGTACCACATGACAATTGGAGATGATGTTAGATAATCTTGTCTGTTAGGTTAGATATAGTTGCTACGGGGTCTACTAGGTAGTCTACTAGGACATGTTGGAGTTAGCTTGCATGCCATGTGCTGGTGCTAAGAATTCCAGTTAGCACTTGTCCGGCTGGAAGTAGTATATTGCCGTGCCATAGTTTGAGTTTAGTAGGAGCCCAAGGCAGAGTTGGTCCATCTGGTAATTGGGTAGTGTTCTAGTACTATCCCAGTTATATATTGCCTATGCTTGCTGCTCGCAATATACTACCTCCAGATGAACCAAACGTTAGCGGCTTAACTATGAAAGCAGTTATATATAGAGCACTATCTTTCTTATCCGACTAAGGCTTTGAACCCATAAGTATCGCGTGAGTGTTAGCAATTGTGAAAGACTAAATGATAGTTGAGTATGTGGACTTGCTGAAAAGCTCTTATATTGAATCTCTCCGATGTTATGATAAATTGCAATTGCTTCAATGACTGAGATCATAGTTGTTAGTTTTCAATGAAGTTTTTGATTCATACTTTACCTTGTGAATGAATTGTTACTTTAGCATAAGAAATTATATAACAATATATGTTGCTCTTCTAAAATATGATCATGATGCCCTCATGTCCGTATTTTATTTCATCGACACCTCTATCTCTAAACACGTGGACATATTTTTCGATTTTGGCTTTCGCTTGAGGACAAGCGAGGTCTAAACTTGGGGGAGTTGATACGTCCATTTTGCATCATGCTTTCATATTGATATTTATTGCATTATGGGTTGTTGTTAAACATTATAGCACAATACTTATGCATTTTCTCTCTTATTTTACAAGTTTTACATGAAGAGGGAGAATGCCGGTAGCTGGAATTCTGGACTGGAAAAGGAGCAAATAGATCTATTCTGCACAACTCCAAAAGTCCTGAAACTTTATGGAGAATTATTTTTAATAAAAAATATTGGGCAAAGAAAGTACCAAAGGGGCCCCACCAGGAAGCCACAAGGGTGGGGGCGCGCCCTACCCCCTGGGCGCGCCCACTAGTAGAAAAAGGGCCTATTGTCCTGGTTCGTAAGGGCCATTTGTCCCGGTTATTGAACTGGGATTAAAGTGTCGGTACTAATTCCCTAGACCTTTAGTCCCTGTTCTTACACAAACCGGGACAGATGGGCCTACACATGGCCGGTGCGGCAAGCCCAGGCAGGAGGCCCTTTGGTCCCAGTTGGTGGCACCAACCGGGACCAATAGGCATCCACGCGTCAGCATTTCAGGGGCTGGGGTTTTTG